ATATCACGTTTCGACATAATATTTTTAAGACTAGGCGCACACCATCGATTTTAGTTGGCCGATAGTTGTGCCCGATTTTAAATTATATGAAGAATCGGCCAAATCAAATCGGTGTAATGTGCACACTTCCATACATGCCCATACTGATCAACTGCCCGACTAAACTATCGGCCGACGAAAAATCGATGGTCTGCGCTTAGGCTAACTTTGACAAACGTCAAAAATCTATCAAACTCCATAAAACACCGGTTATTGTTACAGTTACGGTTAAAGTAAGTTGGTGCAACTCAGCCTAACTCTATCGCAGCACATACTGGAGATTATAATTAACTAAAAGCAAACAGCGCTAAACTCTACCCACAACTGTATCTTTTTTAACAAAATAGTTAAATTCTAAAAACCATTCGTATTTACATTGTTTAATTTCATACAGCACAGCAGACTATTATACATTTTTCATGTAAATTAATTAGCGCCTGTTACTGAAGCTTAGCTAGATCCGTTGTCATCTAGAAACTTCTGAAACTCTTTTATTATTACTGAAACATTTATCTACATTTTCAATTATTTTTTTGCTCAGACTAAACTTTTAAGTACAAAGATGGCATCACCTAACTACATAATGTCTAACCCATCTGTATGTATAAAAGTTCCATCAAAATTAGTTCAGCTTTAAACTTAAAACAGAACTTTGGTGTATAATCCTGCACATTTCTCAACGTTAACCAAGCATAGCCACCGCCAAAGACACACTTGCACTAATCAACAAATAAAAAGCCGTTATCATGCAAACTTTCTACGTCGAGGTAGTCATTCACGTGACCTTTCCAAAGGTCCGTCTGCGGCTGACATTTACCATCTAATTAGCCATCGGTGACCTTTAGCGACCTCATTATAGGGCGCTAAATGGGGCAGCAATTATGTACAGCTTGCCTAACGTCTGACTTAATTCATCAGTTGTCTATCGGTAAAATAGGGAATTTTATGGTCACTGGTTCTCTAACTTGAGGCTGGAAGGTTGAGCTTTTTTTTTAGTCGAAACTCATAAAAACTCATTTATTTTGCAAATGGGCTTTTAAAAAACACTTTTACACGTCCCAGTATTAACCCTACCACTGCTTCAGGACAATAAATGGACTGAAAAGAAGCAGCGCCAGAAATTTAGTCACTGTTGTCAGCCTCAGGACCAACAGAACGGGAGTGTGTTTCAGAATTTGGGGAAGAAGTTGCAATTTTTCCCTTTATTTCGTGTGTGAATTTGTTTTGTCCACTCCATACCTTGGTATTTGAATGTTTAGGTCAAGTCACTTTTCATCAAATAGATCTTACGACATAAATAGTTGAATAGGCAAATATAAATAAAGTTAGGTACAAGGCAAAGACAAGGAGCTACAAAGCCAATGTTAATTATTTACGAAATAATTACCCCTAAAGGGCGTAGGTATTTTTTATGCTATATTTTTATTACTTCGGGCGTCAAGCGCCATTATTTAAGGGTTCGAAAAAACTTTGAGACGCTATGGTCTAATGAGAATCCTTGGTTTTTGCTGGGCGTGTCTGGAAATGACTTTTTCCAAGCATTTTTTGTAATGGAATAACGACTGAGCATACCATGGAAGAACGATGTGATTGCAATATAAGGAAGGCAAATTGTGGCGGTGTTGGGCGGAGAATGGACATTAAAATAAAATGATCACTATATCTGGAATAATGGTCGCTATACTTTAGTATTTTGTGATCACAACTACTAGTTATACAAAAATGTTAGTTAGACATTTTATTAGTTCTGTAACACCAAGTCTTCTTTGGGTGGATTCGACCAATCAAGAGTAAATATTAATCTCAGAATAACTCGTCAGTTATTAGACATTTTGAAATATTTCCCATACTTACTGAAACTGTCAATGTGCCAGTTATCATCATCATCATCATCATCATCATTTCAGCCATAGGACGTCCACTGCTGAACATAGGCCTCTTCCAAGTTAGAGTTAACCTCGGATAAAAGTTTGGTTGAATCGGGCCTTAATGTTATTATTATGCAAAAGTTACACTTTTAAGATCTTATTTTGATTGATTTGGACGTAGAGATAGAACTGACCTGAAAGTAGGCGAAAAGTCAATGATAGCCTTGAGATGGGTACTTCTCATTTACACTCAAATTTGATGGTCACACAATAATAGTTCATAAACGGTATAAGTTAGAACAATAACTTTGAAATCAGATGATAAAATATCTATTTAGCTACATACAAAATAAATGTTATCGTAATAGAAGCAAAAATAATACGAAAAAATCACATGAAACGATAAAAAACGGGGTCATTTTTCGCGTTCTCATCGTGTCACACCTTCGGTTGCAATGAAACATTTGGTTACTGCATTCACAATTTTCATTCAATTTGTGTGCAGCATATACTAAAATCATCGTAATTAAATATGCTTTCCACACAATAGTCAAAAAAATATCTTCTTATAATTATTTTGAATTGGGAAAGCGAAATACGTTGGTCACACGATTTTAGGTACCTAAAATTTTGAGTTATAATACAAGATTGCCGTTAAACCGAACACCAGCAACCAATCACAGCGTTCTATTCGGTTAACGTAAGTCGCGCTTCGACCATTGGGGAGGTGAGATAGGTCGATCGTCGCTCCGCGAAAAAAATACGTAACTTTTTGTGATTATCCATAGACATACCGTCGCTTGCTTGAACAATATTTTCTACCTCTAAAATTTAAACAATTTAATTGAAACTTTGCCATTGAAAACTTAACATGTTAGACTTATTTGTGTAGTATTCAACTTGAACCGTTAAATTCAAATTTAAGGATAATTCATAAAAAACTAAAATTTTCGTCACGTTCGTGGCATCACCTTCGTGGTGTTTTATACACGAAGGTGATTTTAGGCCACGAAAGTGATTTCTTGCTTTGGTTTATTTTAAAATATAGTGACTGGTGTTTATGTTTTTACAATATTTTAATAACTAATAAATTATACGTGGTAAGTAGAGATCAGTACATCAATAAATAAATAAGGGCCTCGTATTTTTATTGTCTGTTTGTCTGTGTGACTGTATGCATGTCTGTATATGTGACTGTGTGTGTATCTGTTTGTAAGATAAATTTAATCTGAAGTTTGACTTGAAAGTTGTATAACAAAAATACGAGGCCCTCTGGCCTAAATAAAAAATATATTTTTGTTGAGGGACTGATAATCAGTTAGAGTTCTTTTTTATTGAGGTACTGATAATCCGTTTTTTGCTTCTTTAGCATTTCAGAATGCCACCAGTGTCACCCTTAAAACCAATTGCGTAGAATCTTGTAACTTAGTAGGTGGCGTAATCGGTAAAATTTTATCTTGTATTTAAGTAGGTACCTATTTATATTATGTTATTACTATTTATCTATGAAAATAAGACAAAACATATGTTTTATAAACACTTAAGAGTCATTTACAGTAGTAAAGTTTGAAAAAAATATTGCTGTGAAGTACAGAATCACTTTCGTGGCATCAAAAAATTCAAAAAGTTAAAGCTTCCAAACGAGACTCACTATTTGCCTGATTTACTGAGAATACAATCTTCACATCAAGCGCTACAATTTTTGTTTACAAAAAGTTGAAATAAGTTAGAAATAAAATTCGCCACGAAGGTGACGATGAGAACCGTGGCGATGAGAAATAGCCAGATTCCTATTCTTTGGCGTAAAAATGGTTCCTAAGGAATAAAATGTTGATCAATAATTTCTGTTGAAGATCAGATTAAGAGTGTCCCAAATTAGTTTAGAACTCTACAAAATAATGATTTCGTTACTTTCGTTGGTTAGGTTTATTTATTGAATTCACTAAAATTGTATGTGTAGTCCCCAAGGCAAATAATTTAATCTAGTTTTCTCCATGATCAGAGATCTATATTCGTACTAGTTATCAATATTAATGACCAGTTTCCTAGCAATTAAAAGAGTTTGCATATTCTGTATATCTACATAATTGAGACGATCTCAATCTGAGATGGGAATCGGAAGATGAACGGTCTCGGTTCGATTCCCCGTGATAGCGAATTAACTGGAGGATATCATTACTCTAGGGCCTTAGCTATTAGATCAGCACCTCGCCCAACGTAAACTGATCAGCTTTGAAAATGTCAGTTATTATCAACAGAAGCGTTTATCACACCATGGAATTTTCAACCTCTCTTCCAGTTTCAGCTTTACTGTTACTAAATTGAAACTTTAAAAATAGGCTTTGGTACGTAATGCATTAATACCTTTTTTCATCAAATCATATTGAAAATGTACAATATTTTGCGTTCTTAGTCTATTTAGATGTTGATTATTTTAAAGCAAGTATTAATGTTGTTTCTTGTAAAACAGATTTTTTACTCATTTCGGCTAAAATTTGTTCGGAACCGACTGATACCAGCATTTTTGCCTGAAACGTAACAAATCTTCAGTACACTTGTGGCCATTACAGAACCACCTCACGGTCTACAAGTCCAGCCTAGAAAAGTATAGTTATTATAATAATTCATTGCGTGTCCATCAAATTAGTGGTTGTAGCATAAACTTTGTCGTCGCTGCGCAAGAGCAAAAAGTGTGGGTTCAATCACCGGTGGATCACATGCCTTATTTGTAAACATTGGCAGCGGCCGAAGGCGAGGTGTTCCACTGGGAGAGCTATTTTAACAGCGAATTTAAACATCATTCATCTAGAATTCGCTGCCTGCTGCTGTCTTTCCTGAACACTATAATCCGGGCATTTTCAAGGCGACTCTCGCACTTACAGGACAGATATGTACCATCCTACACAGCATCTCACTTAGGTGCGATTGCGGTCAAATACCTACCTTGTCAATTACCATGACCATGTCAACAACCAAAGCGAACCCACTCACTACAGTATGGAGTGAGAGGGGGGGATATACGGAAGCAGGCAAAGATACGTTGAAAACAATGATAGCAACGCACTTTCCTGAATCACAGGTCCTAAGCGATGATCAAGATCCAATCAGCGTGGAGGAACAAAATAGAACAACAAACAAGCTCGACTGGGTTACGGCTAAAAGAGTAGTGGATGAGACCNTCCTATAAGAAAAGACGCCAGCAAGACTGGGTTACGGCTAAAAGAGTAGTGGATGAGACTAAGGTGAGATGGGCAATCGGGAGCTTTGAACCATACAAGGCACCAGGCCCAGATTCGATCTACCCAATTCTCTTGCAGCAAGGAATCTCCATTCTGAATCCTCATCTATGCAGGTTATACAAAGCCTGCATAGCATTTGGATACATACCTAAGGTATGGAGAGAAGTCAAAGTGATCTTTATACCTAAACCAGGTAGACCGGATTACAACGACCCTAAGGCATATAGGCCAATAAGTCTACAATCTTTTCTTCTCAAATCGCTTGAAAAACTTGTAGATAAGTACATAAGACAAGGACCACTAAAAAGATTTCCTCTACATGAGCTACAATGTGCATACCAGGCAGGGAAATCTACAGAAACTGCGCTACACTATGTAACCGGCAGGGCGGAGGCGGCTCTTGAGAGTAGGGAGGTTACTGTTGGGACATTTGTCGACATAGAGGGGGCATTTGACCGCACTACCTTCGTCTCTATAGGAGCTGCTGCTTCTGACCACGGGGTACCACTACCTCTATGCCGGTGGATAGACTGTATGCTTAAAGGCAGGATTATTCAATCAGAACTGCAAGGAGAGTGCATGAGTGTAAGGACTGTCAAGGGCTGCCCGCAAGGGGGGGTACTCTCACCCTTGCTATGGAGCCTGGTCGTGGACTCACTACTTGTGAAACTTAACAAAGGACCACTCTACACGGTTGGATATGCAGATGATTTGGTAATTATGGTAAGGGGCAAGTTCCCAACTATTGTGACAGACATCATGCAAAGAGCCCTCAACACACTGGAAGAGTGGTGTGACAAAAACCACCTCTCGGTGAATCCGGGAAAAACGAATGCTATTGCATTTACAAAAATGAGAAATACAACAGGGCTAGGACATCTCTACCTTTATGGTAAACAGATAACCTGGACCAATGAAGTGAAATATCTAGGGGTAATCCTAGATAAGGAACTTACATGGCGTAAACACCAAGATACGGTCATAGCTAAGGCTATGAGAGTGCTGGGAATGTGTCGTGGTGCATACGGGAAGACATGGGGACTTAGTCCCAGAGTGATGAGGTGGATCTATATAACTATGGTGAGACCAATAATACTTTATGGCAGCATTGTCTGGTGGCCTAGAATTAGGTTACAGACGTGCAGAACGGCACTGGGCAAATTGCAAAGAACTGCATGCCTAGCAATAACGAGTGCGTTTAGAACTACGCCAACTGCAGCATTGGAGATTATTCTGGGATTGCCCCCACTGCACTTGGCGCTAGAAGTAGATGCAAGGAAGGCGCTGCACAGACTGAAGGGGGCGGGACTTTGGAGTACATCCAAACCTTGCACCAAGCACACAAGGATGGGGAGCGATCCTCAATTAGATGCAATAATGGACATGGGTTGTGATACAATGCAGCCTAGGTACATGTTTAGCAAGGATTTCAAAGTGTCTATACCAACAAGGGAAGACTGGAAAAGAGGACTAAAACGTCAACAAGACAGCCTGATCTGGTATACTGACGGCTCCAAGATGAACTCAGGAACAGGAGCGGGCGTCTACTCCAAACAATCTGAGCACAGTGAAAGCTTAGGGAGGTTTGCAACAGTGTTTCAAGCTGAAACCTATGCTATAATCATGTGCGCAGTAAGGAATATAGAACAGGCGCATAAAAAGCGTGACATTTACATATTAAGTGACAGTCAGGCAGCACTCAAAGCCATTGCCTCAGTGAGGGTTGGATCCAGACTCGTTCTGGAGGCAATCTTGGCACTGAATAAACTTGGAAGGCACAACAGGGTGACCCTCATGTGGGTACCTGGACATACTGGAATCGAAGGCAATGAGAGAGCCGACAGTCTAGCGAGACAAGGGTCAGAGGCGGCACCTATTGGGCCAGAGCCGATAGTGCCCTTATCTATGAGCACTTTACACATGGCCATGAGGCAATATATATCCAGGAAGCACAGAGCTGAATGGGAAAGCTCCAACGGTATGAGCCACTCCAAACTATTCCTAGTTGGAAACACAAGATCATGGGAAAAGCTCATACTCAATGGAAACAGAAGGCAAGCCCGAGTGATCACGGGTGCGCTGACAGGACACTACACTACAAACCACATGCTCCACAAAATGGGCCTAACTACGGATGACAGCTGTCGAGCATGTGGAGAACATGCGGAGTCCATGAAACACCTACTGTGCGAATGTGACGCGCTAGCTAGAACTAGAATGGGTCTCCTGGGGTCGGCTTATCCGACACCAGAAGAATATAGGTCCTTCTCACCCAAGCTCTTAATCCACTACATGGATAGGATCTTTGCGGATGAGGGGGGATAAAGGTATAGGGAAGCACAAAAGATCCTAATGGGTCGACGTGCACTGCGCTCATGCGCGGCCCTAAATAAGATAAGATAAGATAAGATACCTTGTCAATTTGTCATACATAAAAAAATCATCATCATCATTTCAGGAGGTTCACTAAGGAACATAATAATATATAGGTATAATATAGGCTAGAGATTTCTTAAAGCTAGATTTATTTGTCTCATTTGATATTATTAGCGACATTAGAACTCATTTTCTTTGCTAATCTTACGGGCAAGTTCTGGGAACGTAAAAAAAACACACAAAAGTTCAACAGTCAGTTCTATGGCATGGCGAAAAAAGACACAGCACTAATACGCAATTTATAGAGGCTTGAGGGCAAAGGTACTCCATCTGTATGCTCATACTCTACCAGTGCGTATTGGTAAAGGAGAGAGGGTGTCTAGTGGCCAACCTTGCAGTCAGATATTTTGTGTTCTCGTCATCATCATTAGTTCAGTCATAGGACGTCCACTGCTGAACATAAGCCTCCCCCAATGATTCTCATATTGGCCGGTTGGTAGAACTGCATCCAGCGCCTCTGTTTTCTGACCAAACTTTTTTACTTACTAGATTTGTGGTCGTAGCAAATATCCTAGCTTGAACTGGAAAACAGAATACTAGGTGCTAGATTCGTTTTCTTTTTGCAGAAGGCAGGTTGACCGCAAAACCAGTCGGGTAGGGGTCCGCGGGACAATAACTAGGTACTATTTATTCAACAACACTGAGAAAAAGGCCTGCCTTAATTGATAAACTGCTTACTGAATGATAACAATGCATGGTTTAAAAAACAAATGAAGATTATTTATTGAATCATTGACGTTGACTAGTTTTGTCTTGCGGCGTTGTTTGTGGAGATATTTTCGTTAATCATTCAGACTGACTTTAAAATCTTCATTTCACACTTTCTTTATCAACTCTAACACAAACTATCAACTCGTCCGTATTCACAAACATTACTATGAGGTCTCACAGTGCACGTGGATGCATAGGATGACACACAAACCAATCACAGAGCTCTATTCAACGCTGTGCGTTCGATTTGCTGCAAGCATCGTTTCTGAATACGGGCGTAAGACTAGATACTTTCAGCATCTTTTCTTTTCAGAAGACTTCTAAAATACAGGGTATTAGGGGTCGATAACCAAATAAAAAATCTTTTACTCTGTGAAACAAGATGTGCATCTGTCCCTTTTAGCTGAAAACGAAATGCATACTCTTAGAATAGCCAGGGGTGGCCAACCGGTCGAATATTAGTCCAGTCGATCATGGCAAGGCAAAAAATACTACATGATTGTGTAGGTACCTACTAAACATGCTGTTTCATTTAAGATTTCAAGAAGTACGTAAGTGATAGATCGCCCAGGGTTTCGTTAGTAAACAGTAGATCTTATGTCTAATCAAGTTGGCCACCCCTGGAATAAGCAATAGAAACAGGCGATCCATCCAGAACCCGCGACCGGTCGTTAGATATCCCGGGCAACCGGTTGCGACCGGGCGGCGACAACCAAGCTTACGTTACGGCGCTAATTGCCCAGCCACACATTTAAGCGACATTTTATGATATAATCTTAATACGCAGAATATATGGTGGTTAGAAATAAAACGATCTCTTGGGAAAATATCTAAACACTTTAGGAGATCGATAAAACCATAAAACATTCATAGAAATGGAGTGATTAAACTGGGCGAGCATTACCTTCCTAATTACCCTACACTCTGTTTTTGTAAAAACTTGGCTTCTATAGATTAGCTTAGCTTTCTATATTCTCTATTTTTACAGTTTAAAATTAGTTATCTCTTTGCTACGCCTGAAAATTTAAATTTACCAATAAAATTTATTTTTTCTGAGCTGTAATTTGATATGAAAGTAACACCTAAAGGCTTACCGGATTAAAGTTGACCACAGATCTCTACCGCAGGGCCAACTCTACCGATTTCCTTTATTTCTTTTGTCTACGTCCACGGTACTTCAAATTTTGTGCACAGTGGCAACAAGCTGTTTGTAAAGTTAGAATTTAGTGGGTCTACTAAGTACTTACTAATAGTATAATTGCGAATGTCTGTGTATCTTAATACATGCTACAGGCCTAAATAACAGAATTTTGATGATTTTTGGTGGATAGGACCTAGAAATAAGACTACCCTGTGTAGATAAAAAAAAGAAAATGATAAAAAAATTGACAAAAGAAATTAAAACAAAAAATAGATTCATATCGTTTATTACATCAAATGCATTGCATTATGTTATTTTGAACAATAAATAAACTGGTGTGATACATTATTACCTTGTATATAACGTTTTAACTATGTTTCTTTTATATTACAACGATTAAATGCCCACATAGTACACACGTTGCAAAATATATTATGTACTTATTTCACTCAAAGCTATGTGTTTTATACATAGTTTTATGAAATTTCAATAATCTATAAATAAAGGACGCGTGTTTTTTCCGACATTTCAATAATTATACTAAAACTTAGCTATCTCCGTACAAGCAGAACTTTACTATGGCGTCAAAGTTTAGTACGAAGAAACATACTTATTAAATATAAATAACAATAGGTAAGTACTAATAATGCGAATAAACTGCAATATTTAAAGGCATTCATTAAAACAATACTGAACAATTAATGTGTACTAGATGGGCATTTAAAACAATTATTCTATGCATTTAGTATTTCGATATTTCGAGTATAATCTGCTCTATAGAACAAGAAGAAACATTGAGCCAAAGAAGGAATGAAAAATGTAAATAATATTTATTATTATGTAAATAAAAACTTTTAACAGGGAAACAAAATTGTCTTTGGTTCCACTTGTCTTTGGAACGTGAGCAAAAAAAACAATTGTAGGTACTCAGCAGGTGAAGAGGTACAGCAAGATATCTTTACATTAGGCGTTAGATTATTGCATTGCAAAAACAACCTTATTTATACTTATTCGGTAGTTCAAATCACTGTGCAGTGTTATCGATAAAACAATATCATATTGGTGTAGGATATTAACCGATCACAATACAAAAAAGTACAGTATCCTCAAAATAGCACCAATATTATAATATCAGCACATCGTGTGTACCAAAAAACGAGCGCTGGCAACATTTTATCCGTTCTGAGGCATGGAAATTGTCACAAGAAAAAAACAACGGAAAACTTGTCTTAAAACAATAGATAAAAAAATAAGGCTATAAAAATAATACATTCAAAATCACACATCGTAGTTAAAATGTTACATAGTTATTTAAAACTGCAACTAAATTCCTTGCCTCAGAAGAAAAAAACATTTTACATCTAGCAACACCAAATTTTTACAGCGCGGCAATTACAACGATTTCACGTACTAAAACATAATCAAACTGCAATCAACGACAACTCATGCAAGATATGGTTAGTAGACATTGAGATATGACAAAGTTATTGGACTTACATCGCCATCACATGCCCTTAAGTAGAAATATACAATAATTATGTAAATAGATATGTATAGGTAAATGTAAATTAACCTCTATGGTAACACTGGAATCTTATGTAAAGTTCTGACCAGAAGAAATACTACGGTCCTAGCCAGATATCAATATAGTCGCTTTTTGAGTCACAGTGATGATATAAGTATCTATTTCAAAATACATTGAGCCATTTTATTGATATATGTGTACTATAAAACTATGTATCTGGCTCATAATATGTAACATAGTCGATTATACATTAGACCTTTAATTTTATGAATACTTCTACAGTAAAGAATGAAGGTAATCAAAGTGACTCGCGAAAAAGCTTTAGTGATTCCTAAAATAAGTTCACAAGACAAAAATACAGGTATTTAACAACATATTTAAATATTAACGCATGTTAAAATTTACAAAACTACAACTAAAATTAACACAAGGTGTTGCCAACTACAATTATACAAACGTACCTAATTTTATTTGGTCTCATTTTAGTAACGGTTACATTTCAACAGAAATTCTTAATAATAACAAATGAAAACTATTTTTACACTACGTTCCGGTTGCATAGCTCGATTTAGTCGAAGGAAATGATGCTGGCCGGTTGGTGGCCTTTTCTGTGGTGGGTAGTTACGTCTATGGTTGTGATCTGTCATTGTGACAGTAGTTTTTTTTTTAAATATTTTATGGCGAAAAAACTCTTAAGCTTCGAAGCAGCGTGGCCAGGACGTTGGCTAAGCATTCCGCTCTGAGTGCGAGTTGGCCTTCTAGGGTGGAGTTGGTGTCTTGTCCTTGGCCCTGGGCCTTTTTGGTGTTGTGCTCGTGAATGATCTTTGCCATGTCGGCGCCTGCCAGCTCTTTGAAGGCAGCCGTGACGTCGTGCACTCGTAGAACCAGGTTCCTGGTTTGGAGAGGCGCTGAGGTATGTCTGCCAAGCGCCTGAAATAAATATAAATTGGTTTCAGTGAAAGCGACCCTTATTTTGGTCGTCATCTTTGGGAAAACCACTTGTACGTGGTGGTTTACCGTAATCTTGGTATAGTTTTAAAAGTGCGGTATCAGAAACATCATTCTGTGGTGTTGAAGTCAAGTGCAGCATAGAGTTTTAAGTCCTGTGTAGTGGTCTTCTAGCTAGAGTATATTGGATGAGGAGATCCGTAGGAGAACCAAAGTGACTGACATACATAGTCCGCTGAATCGCTAAAATCAAATGGCAGTGGGCGGGGCACATAGCTCGTAGAGCTGATGGCTACTGGGGCAGGAATGTTCTTGAGTGGCGACCACGAGCCGGAAGACGTAACATGGGCAGGGCTCCCACTAAGTGGACCGAGGATCTGGTGAAGGTTGCGGGAGGTGTTGTGATGTGAGCGGCGCAGGACCGCTCTTTATAAATAAATAAATATCCTTAGACATTTTACACTGCGCTTCTAGTCCCAAACTAAGCAAAGCTTGTACTATGGGTGCTAGACAACGGATATAAACATACTTAAATACTTTTTTTTTGTAAATACATACTTATTATACATAGAAAACACCCAGTCCAATACAAACAAAATATGTTCATGCACACAAATGTTTGTACTGTGCGGGAATCGAACCCGCTACTTCCGGAATAGTTTATGGAAATCCTTGGGGGAGGCCTTTTTCCAGCAGTGGAAGTCTTTCCAAGTCAAAGTCAAAATTTCTTTATTTGTTTAGACTAATAAATAGTTCTTACAAATCGTCATTTTGCTCTTAAGGAGCCTCTACATGTCTAAGAATCTTTTTACCCTACCACTTAGATTAATAAAGCCTAGATGGATAGTCTTTATACAAACGCTTCGTCAAGAGTGAGGCAAAAATCTTATGTCATTAGTGTCAATTTTGTTGGGGAGCGTAGACAGTGAAGGCGAAATTTTTAATACGTTTTTAATTATTTTATAATTAACAAAAACAAAACGCATCATGTACTTACTTATTTATTGAATTCAAAGTACCTACCTAATTACAGTAAGATAAATCGACTTAAAAGTCTCGATTTCATAAAAAAGGAAGTGTATTTGTACGGCGAACAATTGGGAAATAAATTTTCTTGTTATAGCCTGACCAGGAACATAAAAACCCTCGCCATGTTGCGGAAAACTAATGGTACTAATTTCTTTTAATGGCAACAGTAACTGAAAACTTCATTGACATGTCACCTTGCATGTCAGTCTATTGCTGTCAAAGTGTAAACAAAGTTTATTTTAAATGTGCGCAATTGGTTTTATGAATTAAATTGCTAAAATATTTTTATAGTCGTGAAAGAAAAGTGGTTCACAATGTGTTAAAGTATTTGTCGAAGAGAAATACTAAGGGTTTGGACAATATTTTCATTGAATAATGTTTCCGACAAAGGTTGTCAAATTGACTGACATGTTTATCGTATAGTACAGTCCAATAAGAAAATTAGCTGTGGTTTGTTTCAACTACCTATTTTAAAATTTTTTGTTACTTTCTAAATGTTGAATTTTATGGGATTGGGAAAGAAGTACCGAGTTTGAAGCGTTCATGAGCAGACATTGCAGTTGAATATTCAAGTTCTGAATTTGATTATTGATGAATAATAAAATAAATTCTACTAGCTCGATTGATGGTTTCATTTAATTTATTTAAATCAGGTTACCTATAATAATATTTTTTTGTTAATTTATGAAATTATCAAATTAGCCCGTAATCCTGAATCCTGATACATAAAGTTAGCCTATTAATAATTTAACACAGGTACGACTGTACTCAGTGTTGCACTATCAAATGCAATTGACGCGCCTCTATGCCAGGGTTTTTATGTTCCTGGTCAGGCTATACTGGTATCATTCCCGTATTTAATTTTTGAAAGCCAAATTCAAGCAAAATACGCGTCAAATTGTAGTACTTATTTATGATATGTAACACTGGTCACTTTCTTTCGTTTTTCTGATGTATTTAGACACCCTTTCACAGCACAAACCGTCTTAATTAATTAAAATTCGGCGGACGTGTTTACCAATTTTTCACTTTGACAGTTCATGTGACGTTTACGGGTGAGCCGTTCCGGCTCACTAAAAACTGCCTCACCTTTCGTGCACTATCAATCTAGGCTTTATTAATCTAAGCCCTACCAGCGCTTCGAGACCAACATTTGGCAAGTGCTGTTTTGGCTGAAACGAACTTACCTGTGCGAGGTCAGCCAGTCTACGTAGCGGCGCGAGGCAGTCAGCCAGTGCGGCGGGGGCGGCTGAGGCGGCGGGGGAGGGGGCGGACGCGCCCAAAGCGCCCACGAGCGCACGTGACGCGCCCACTAGGGATACGGCACATGACGTCAGCTCGCTGCGTGCGCGCTGGATGATAGAAGGGTACATTTGTTACTTATGCCTGTTTTCACCATCAATCCCGAATTTTTAAGTGACCCCTATGGTAACACTTAACAGGAATTTTGTTTTCATAGGGGTCACTTAAAAATTAGGGATTGATGGTGAAAACGGGCATTAGTCTGTCAATAAATTGGAAAAGAATTGTATAATGTTCCATTCCATCTCCGGGTTGTCTGTAAGATTGAGTGCCCGACACAGCACGATCCAACTGATAACGTTAATTTATGAAAAGCAAACCACTGCAAATTCTGTATAGCCAGGATCAGTTTGATCTTCTAAGAAACCCGACCAGTGAAGGTTGAGTAGTCCCAGGGACAGCTTACTGTCTTGGAAACGATGAAGATTAAAATGGTAAGACGGCTCTTAACGCGACGTTTATTATTGAGTTACATTATGTACTCACGGCTTGACGTTTCGGCTGCGATGCTACAGCCGTGGTCACAAGCAGACTGGCGGCTCGCGGCGTCGGCCGTTCGTACATAATGTAACTCATTAATAAACGTCGCGTTAATAAGACCCGTGTCTTACTATTTTAATTGAAATGGAACGCGAAAGTTTAAAATCTTATAATAATGAACGACTCGATGTTCGACTTCCCCCAATTGCAAAGCGGGAGACAGATGACTGAAAAGGTAAAATAAAGATGTCTTACCTGGAACTTGATTTCGTCGATATCTTCTCCGCCACCGTGCGCGTGCTGGTGCGAACAGGTCTGTGCTGCGACGTGCAGCCGCTGCAGCAGCCCGTCCACCGCCGCCTCCGTCTTGCGAAGCAGCGCTTCAAGCGGCACATGGCCATTATGCCCCGCCAATAACCCCGCTGGCGGTGACGGAGGCGTCGGAATGTCGTCCACAACGTCTTCTTTGAAGCGTACATGATTCTGAACCTTCGGCGTCGGGCTCCCACTCTCCAATCGGAACGCCTTTCGCTCCGCCAGCGGAGGACTGAACACCTTATGCTCATTTGTCGGGGCACCGTTCAACAGATCCGGACGATTGCTAAACCGCCGGTTCATCTGGGGCGAGCACAGAGATAAGGCTGTCGACATCTCCTTATTCTTCAGTATGGTGTTCTTAGTTTCGGAGTGCGACCGCACGTGCCTGCTCTGCAAAGTCATCGAGCTGTAGTTCTGCGAGGAGCGCACGTTTAAAGGCTCCTCGTCGGTCATCCGGCTCTCATTTTCGAGGTTGCGGTACGTGTTCAGATTCCGCTGGAAGTGCGGCGAGCCGATGCTGGCTAGACGTTGCTCTGAGTTTCTTAGGGGAGATTGCTTCTGAGCGTTCTTCAGTCGAAGAACCTCGATGCTCGGTACGGGCGGTAGCGGCGGTTTCTTGGGCGGGAGTAGGAGCGGTGGCGGTGGCGGCAATACTTTGTTCTCTATTCTTGGAGGGAGCACCGGTGGATCAGCACATTGCTCGTTGATTTCGCATACAACTTTGTAATTAAGTTTTCTATTATTCAGCGTATTGAAATGACTATTGGGAATTTCCACCGCACTCAATTCATTGTTCAGGCACGTGAATGAGTTCGATCGTGGTCTAGGCGCAGGCGCGGGTGGCGTTTTGGGTGGTCTCTCGGGTGCTTTACGCACTTCAGAGTTTTTTCTTCGAGGAGGAGGCCTTATTTCACAAACGTCCGGCATGGAATCTGAATTTTCTAAGTGGCCTTCAACTTTATCAGCCTCATCACTGTCATCGGATTTATTCTTATCTTTGCTACAACATGAAAACATTCCTTTCCTTTCTACAGTAGGATATTCAATCACATGTGCGGTCCCGTTCGACTGCTTCTCGCTAATGCTTTTTCTTTTACCTTTTGGCGAATCTGACTTACCCTGAACTTGAGTCTTGCTCTTATCTTTCAGCAAAAGGCTGTTTCTAGCATCACTTAAACTTTTTGCTGTAAACATATTCCTAATCTCACTAACGCTTAACGTACCTTTCACTACCTCACCATTACTAGGCTTGACATCAATATTAGTATTTTGAGCATTTTTTGCCTCGAGAATTTGAGAATGATTAGCGTAGCTGACTTGGTCTCTGTCTAAAGTCGACGAATTTGAGCCAGGCGGAGGAGGGATTATGTACGACAGTATCTCCTCCGGAGTTAATTCTATAGCTGGCGTCACTTTGACAGTTGGTGGCTGTATTGTGACATTAGCAATAAACTCTTCGAGCGTATTCGCTTTTGGCGCAGCATAGCTACTGTTTTGTACTACATTTTCTCTGTCGTCAGCAAACGAAGGTGGTACGACTGGCAAAATTTGAGGCACTTGAGTAGCACAATCTAGTTCATCAGGGGTTTGCGGGGGAGGTATTAAAGTTAAATCTATAAGCTCGGCGTCATTGTCCACCAAAGTTTCTTGGTAAAAAAATGGTACCTCGGCAGCTTTAGCGTCTTCTTGACTGCTCTTTTCTTTAAGTTGCTTTAAATATTCTTTTAAGTTCGGTTCTTTATTGTCTTGCGGGTCTGGGCTATGCAGGCCGAAACTAGTTCTAACTACTTTATTAGTAGGCTTATTCTGGTGTCTTCGTATAGGGCTGTTTGTCGGTGTATATAGAGAATCGTTATCACTTTCGGAATGGCAGAGATCACTGTTTAAAGCTAATAAAGCGTCCGTTAAGCCACAGTTATTCAGTATAGCGCTGAGGCCTTGAGACTGGCGATTGGTTAGAGGAACACTGTTATTGTCTGTACCATTTTCCGGTACGTTCAAAACACTCAACCCTTGGTTAATGGTTTCCGTAAGAAGTAATAAAGAATCGCTATGCTTCAGTATGCCTGGGGCGTCGTCAGCCGCGGACATCCTACTATTATTAGATTCGGTATCACTTTCAGTATTATCTACACACGTTTCTTTACCTACTAGTTCGTCTCTTAAAATGCCATCATTATAAGGATCATCATTAAAAACATCACAATTTTCAGTCAAATATTGTTCGGAGTTTTCGACGAGCTTTTGCATTTCTGCTACTCTTCGCAACACTTCCTCGTTTTTGGCCTCTACTAGTTTGGGGTTGTTGGTTGCGTTTTCTAGGAGTTCCATGGAGAGGACGCTTTGGAGGTCGAAGCCCATTCCGTCGTCAAGATAGCAGGAGTCGTTTGGATCGAAGAGTCTGAAGTCTTCGTTTCTCTTGCATTTGTCGAAGTGGACGTCGTGTCCTAGGAGTCCCTTGGAGTCGTATCCGATCAAGGGGCTTGAATGGTTGCTGTTTTTGTTGGACATAGAGTTCATGTTGGTGTCGAGGCTGGCCCTGGACTGGTCGGGCGTGGAGTGGTACGGCGGCGGCATGCTGAAGATGGCGTAGTGCTTCTTGGATAGAACATTGGGATCGTCGAAGTGTAAATAACTCCACTTGGTTGGCACCACATTGTGTTGAGATAAATATGGTGGAGCTGAAACGAAGAATGGTGTGTCAGTGTGAAAACTGCAGACACAAACCTAATTGAAAAAAAAAGTTCCAAGGCCAATATTTTACATACCTATATCTTCTGTTATAGGTTCTCTTTCTTGTTCTACATTCAGTTCCTGGCCCGTAGCAAGACGGTAGTATCTGAAACGTTAAAATAAAAACATGTTCAGAATGTTATGATAGTCAGTGTTACGAGTACATGGTCAAGAGATATGCTTAAAGATACAATTAATATTTGAATGGCCAAAATAAGATATTGGGTTTATTTTTCAGTGTTGGGCGAGCTTAAGTGGTGGATAAGCTCAGTATTCATCATGGTTGGTTGGATATTGAGTAGAGAGTAGGGTGAATTTGGGTCATCATCATCATCATTTCAGCCATAGGACGTCTACTGCTGAACATAGGCCTCCCCCAATGCTTTCCATGTTGATCGATTGGTAGCGGCTTGCGTCCAGCGCTTCCCTGCTACCTTTACGATGTCGTCGGTCCATCTTGTAGGTGGACGTCCCACGCTGCGTTTTCCGGTACGCGGCCTCCATTCCAGAACCTTTCTGTCCCATCGGCCGTCAGTTCTGCGTACTATGTGCCCTGCTCATTGCCACTTCAGCTTGCTAATCCGTCGAACTTGGGTGATTTTGGGAGCTTAAAGTTTTGGGAGAAATTGAGTATTGAATGAGCTTGGGTACTCGGTGACCTTGGCTACTGGGTGAGCCTGGCTGTGGGTAAAGTCTTCTCACCCTGCGATGACGAGCAGCATCTCACTAACATCGAGTCGTCTTACATCCTGAGGAGTCCCCTGAGGGGCGGTCGAGAGGCTGTGACGACAGTGGGAGCACTCACCCTGCGATGACGAGAGGCATCTCACTAACATCGAGTCGTCTTACATCCTGAGGAGTCCCCTGAGAGGCGGTCGAGAGGCTGTGACGACAGTGGGAGCGCTCACCCTGCGATGACGAGCGGCATCTCACTAACATCGAGTCGTCCTTCATCCTGAAGAGGGCCCATCTCTCCAGAGAGGCGGTTGACTGAAGCTGTGGAGACAGTGGGAGCGCTCACCCTGCGATGACGAGCGGCATCTTACTAACATCGCGTCGCCCTTCACCCTGATGCCCTCCACCTCTCCTGAGAGGTGGTTGAATAAGGCTATGTCAATGACTGACAACATCGCTCACCCTGCGATGACGAGCGGCATCTCACTAACATCGACTCGTCCATCATCCTGAGGAGTCCCCTGAGAGGTGGTTGAGAGACTGTGGAGACGACTGTGGGAGCGCTCAACCTGCGATGACGAGCGGCATCTCACTAACATTGCGTCGTCCTTCATCCTTAACCCCTTCACCCTGCATCTCCCCAGGGAGGCGGTTGACTGAAGCTGTGGAGACAGTGGGAGCGCTCACCCTGCGATGACGAGCGGCATCTCACTAACATCGCGTCGTCCTTCATCCTTAAGAGGGCCCATCTCTCCTGAGAGGTGGTTGAATAAGGCTGTGTCAATGACTGATAACATCGCTCACCCTGCGATGACGAGCGGCATCTCACTAACATCGCGTCGTCCTTCATCCTGAGTAGGGCCCATCTCTCCAGGGAGGCGGTTGACTAAAGCTGTGGAGACAGTGGGAGCGCTCACCCTGCGATGACGAGCGGCATCTAACTAACATCGAGTTGTCTTACATCCTAAGGAGTCCCCTGAGAGGCGGTTGAGAGACTGTGAAGACGACGGTGGGAGCGCTCACCCTGCGATGATGCGCGGCATCTCACTATCATCGCGTCGTCTTTCATCCTGAGGAGGGCCTACCTCTCCAGAGAGGCGGTCGACTGAGACTGTGTCAATGACTGGCAACATCGCTCACCCTGCGATGACGAGCGGCATCTCGCCGGCGTCGCGCTCGTCCATCATCCTGAGGGCCTTCCACCTCACCAGAGAGGCGATCGAGAGGCTGTGTTACGACAGTGGGAGCGCCTCTCTGGACAGGAGGGCCCACCTCTACGGAGAGGCGGTGGACTGAGGCTGTGTCAATGACTGACAACATCGCTCACCCTGCGATGACGAGCGGCATCTCGCCGGCGTCGCGCTCGTCCATCAGCAGCGCCAGCACGCGGTCGCGGCGCAGGAAGATGGCCACGTCCGCGCTGCCCGCGCCCGAGCCCTTCACCCTGATGCCCTCCACCTCCAGAGAGGCGGTCGCGAGGCTGTGACGACGGTGGGAGCGCTCACCCTGCGATGACGAGCGGCATCTAACTAACATCGAGTCGTCTTACATCCTAAGGAGTCCCCTGAGAGGCGGTTGAGAGACTGTGAAGACGACGGTGGGAGCGCTCACCCTGCGATGTCGAGCGGCATCTCACTAACATCGCGTCGCCCTTCATCCTGAGGAGAGCCTACCTCTCCTGAGAGGTGGTTGAATAAGGCTGTGTCAATGACTGACAACATCGCTCACCCTGCGATGACGAGCGGCATCTCACTAGCATCGAGTCATCTTACATCCTGAGGAGTCCCCTGAGAGGCGGTCGAGAAGCTGTGGAGACGACAGTGTATTCGCTCACCCTGCGATGATGAGAGGCATCTCACTAACATTGCGTCGCCCTTCATCCTGAGGAGTCCCCTGAGAGGCGGTTGGGAGACTGTGGAGACGACAGTGGGAGCGCTCACCCTGCGATGACGAGCGGCATCTCACTAGCATCGAGTCGTCTTACATCCTGAGGAGTCCCCTGAGAGGCGGTTGAGAGACTGTGGAGACGACAGTGGGAGCGCTCACTCTGCGATGCCGAGCGGCATCTCACTAACATCGCGTCGCCCTTCACCCTTATGCCCTCCACCTCTCCTGATAGGTGGTTGAATAAGGCTATGTCAATGACTGACAACATCGCTCACCCTGCGATGACGAGCGGCATCTCACTAACATCGAGTCGTCTTACATCCTAAGGAGTCCCCTGAGAGGCGGTTGAGAGACTGTGAAGACGACGGTGGGAGCGCTCACCCTGCGATGACGAGAGGCATCTCACTAACATCGCGGCGTCCTTCATCCTGAGAAGGGTCCATCTCTCCAGAGAGGCGGTCGACTGAGACTGTGTCAATGACTGGCAACATCGCTCACCCTGCGATGACGAGCGGCATCTCACTAACATCGAGTCGTCTTACATCCTAAGGAGTCCCCTGAGAGGCGGTTGAGAGACTGTGAAGACGACGGTGGGAGCGCTCACCCTGCGATGACGAGAGGCATCTCACTAACATCGCGGCGTCCTTCATCCTGAGAAGGGTCCATCTCTCCAGAGAGGCGGTCGACTGAGACTGTGTCAATGACTGGCAACATCGCTCACCCTGCGATGACGAGCGGCATCTCACTAACATCGAGTCGTCTTACATCCTAAGGAGTCCCCTGAGAGGCGGTTGAGAGACTGTGAAGACGACGGTGGGAGCGCTCACCCTGCGATGACGAGAGGCATCTCACTAACATCGCGGCGTCCTTCATCCTGAGAAGGGTCCATCTCTCCAGAGAGGCGGTGGACTGAGGCTGTGTCAATGACTGACAACATCGCTCACCCTGCGATGACGAGCGGCATCTCGCCGGCGTCGCGCTCGTCCATCAGCAGCGCCAGCACGCGGTCGCGGCGCAGGAAGATGGCCACGTCCGCGCTGCCCGCGCCCGAGCCCTTCACCCTGATGCCCTCCACCTCTTCCAGAGAGGCGATCGATTGAGGCTGTAGAAGATGTAAATAGTAGATGTAAAAGAATATACACTCGGCATCAAATAAATCGCACCTCCCGCGACAAGCATTTATCAAACGTATGTATCCCCACTTCCCACCAACGTTGGTACCATTTGAAAGCCTAGTTCTAAACTTCATTCCATTAGAGGAAAGGTTTTTACCCCAAAAATGTGTCTTTACAAGGATCCAAAGTCACTTCTTCAAAAAATAGGTAGTTACGCTATAGCCATTTTTTATGACAATAAAACTGTTAAGTTGGGATTAATCGCTATCCATCTGTTAAAGAGGATACGTGAGATCTTTATTTAGTTTTATAACCATAAAAATTGGTCTAATTGATCCCAAAGGTGAGCCCAAAGTGAGGTCTATTTTCATGTCACATTTATGGTATATGTTAATCATTTATTTACAAATGAAATGTATTTTTCTTTAAGGATATTTATTGGGCTTTCAAATAACACCAATATTGTTGGGGTACCATGATTGTGTCAGAAGAAAATCTTTAAAGTTCGCGTCGCGGAAGGTGCGGTTTATTTGATGTTGAGTGTAGTACCTACATCAAAGAAACATCTCTAGTTTTATGTGCTGTTGACTGTGTACCGCACAAAAGTGAGGATCACAGGAAATAATCAATTGGAAGGGCTAAATCTATGTATAGGCGTATGAGGTTTCGAATGGAAAGAATTAACAAAAACAACGATATGACCAGAAAAGTGATAGACATCGAAACTAAACCCCTATGGATATCCGTATGACATATGGATATCCGTAGTAAATAAGGACCTCAAAGAGACTCAAGTCAACAAGGAGACGACCTAGGACCGAGCTACCTGGAGACGCATGTTAAGAAGGGCTGACCCTAAATAAAATGGGAATGAGCCAGGCAAAGAAGAATCTTTGCCTGGCCTATTCCCAATTTATTTGAATACTTATTCTGAAACTAGTCACTTCAGAGCGGTGTCTTCTAAAGCTCGGTCCGTGAGCACGTAGAAGTTTGTCCAATGACCCCTAGTTACCCATTCTTATCGCTCGCGCGTAATTATACTGCTGTCGCGACTGTGCGACTGGCAGTGAGTGTGCGAGCGCGATAGCAACATAATTACGCGCGAGCGATAAGGATGGGTAGCTTGGGGTCATTGCTCACGGACCAGACTATAGCTCACATAAATTTAACAAAGAGTATAGTGTCTTCTCAACTTAAACTTTCCGAAGCTGACTTGAACTTCTATCTTCAATATCTCATAAAAACTTACCACAGAGTTGTTCCTCCCGATGATCTGACTGAGTCCAAACCTCGGCGACACCAGCAGCACCCGCTCCGGCCGGCTGCTGCTGAAGCACTTGGCGCCGTAGCTCGGAAGCCCCGCCACTATGTCCAGGTAGTGCAGCTTCGCCTGGAATTTGAATTTTATGTGTTGGAGATAGAGATCGAATGAGGGCTATCGTTTTTATACTTAACAGTTGGCACCCCTGGCGATTGACAGGACCTTACACTACAGTGGCGCCATCTTGATGAGTGCAATTGCGATAGTCCTCCTACCACTTTAGCACTCACCAGATAGTGCCACTGTTTTCGCTACTAGCAAGTGACAGGACCTTACTCTACAGTGGCGCAAACTGGTGAGCGCTAAAACGATAGCCCTCATTGAGAGAACATTATAGGGCAGATATAGAGTATTTCATGACATTGCTCACGCAATCTTGAATGTGAAATGTATGCGAAATTGAATTGGATATCGTAGAAGAGCTCGAGACAGTCCATGTATGCCAGCCCAGTTCTATGGCAGTTTATAAAGCTTCCAACCAAAAGTGAAATGCTAAGGAATCATAACAGCTGTCAACAGTTTAGAACTGTTGACTTGTGTACGGACTCAAATTGCTTCAAGTACCTACCTATGTTTACATTTAGTTGTAATATGAGCTGGTGTTATATGGCTCCTCAAAGACATTTCATACAAAACTGGTAAGCTTATCAAAAATCGTGTAAAAAATCCGTGTCCTTAAGAATGAAAATAAAGCCCCATTTATTGCTAACTAGCTTTCCGCCCGCGGTTTCGCCCGCGTGGAATTTGTCCGTCACAGAAAAACTTTGTCGCGCGCGTCCCTGTTTCAAAAACCGGGATAAAAACTATCCTATGTCCTTTCCCGGGACTCGAACTATCTCTATGCCAAATTTCATCAAACGCGGTTCAGTGGTTTAGGCGTGAAAGCAAGACAGACAGACAGACAGAGTTGCTTTCGCATTTATAATATTAGTAAGTATAGATAGTATAGAAGTATAGATTTATACCTGTAGTTGTGTGAGCTGCCTCTGACTGCCGGTCATCTGCGAGTTGAGTTTGAGACAGTGAGCCAGTAACCGCCGCAATTCCTTACGCTTCATACTCTCTAGCAGTCCGCTTGGAATAAACCGCTCTAGGCCGAACTCTCTTCTGGAACCAAGTGGGGTTTTCGGTATTAGAAAGTTTTGTGTAGATTATAAGATATTTTGAAATTGTAAATAAATAAAAGTACTTAAATAAGTTGAAAAGGTAGTTCAAGCCATTGACTCCCAAGAAACTACACTTGGCATCAAAGAAATCGGACCTTCCGCGACAATAACTTTAACGATTTTCTTCTCAAGAATCATGGTGCTCAAGATAGGATAGTGAAATTACAAACTTTTCTAATCCCCTAGAAGCTCAAGACCAAATAGAAATTTTATTAGGCTCACAGGTGAGCCACGTAGCGTTCAACGTGTTAAGAAACAATAAAGTTAGGTAATCTAAATTGATTGCCTTTTCATGTTAATCAATGAAACTCTAGCAACACTTGTGATTTGTGAAGAAGTAATTCTAAGGTCTGAAATTATGAATAAATGGTTCTTTGTCCTAAAATAGGACATAGTAGGCCTTTAATACTGATTTATCTAATCTCGCTACGGCGCGTCAACTGTTACCTTCCAGCTCGCTGATTGCACTTTGCTTGCACTAAACTTGTCTTACTCATCCGGTAGATTTATGGTCTTCGTCGGTTCAGTAAGGCCTAGATTGGTTAATTGCAATGTAAACGCGTATTGTATAAGTATTAAAAAGTCTTAAACGTGGTACGTACTCAACAGCCTTAACAGTCAGCTTGGCCGGCGAGAGGTTATTAGCAAGCGCGTGTTGATGCATGTGCAGTGCTGCCAACCGCAGCGCCACATCTGGCTGTAGTTCCGGCGCGAACCGTTCTTGAGCCACGTCGTTGCAGCATTGCATGTAAAGGTAGTCCAGGGCAGCCAGGTCACGTTGGGCCAGCTCGGCAGCCGAGTTAGGCATGAACACCACTCGGAAGAGGCAACGCATCTTGTGGGAACCGGGGCGGGCAGCGATCTGGAGTATTGATATGGGCACGGGTTATTATCAGATGCTAGTTAGGATTTATTAGAGATCTACTGTAATTTATCGAATTAATTATGGTGGATATCCCTATTTTATTAGGCGTTTTGGATTCATTAATGATCGTCAAAGAATGAATGAAAAATTAAGAAGAAATAATGGTCTTTGTATAAATGATATATCTAGATGACATACTAATAATTGCTTCGTTGTTGAACAACAGACACTAGTTTCTTATACTACATATTATTATTAATATTATCAGTAATGAAGCATACCCTCGCTAAAGATTCCTTCGGATCCAACAACGTGAGCTTATTCCTCCTCAAACTCTTGACATGTTCAACAACTAAGCTGAAGTGTTCGTCAGCCGTGATGCACAGTTTGTCCTTCAGGCTTTGCACGACGTCTGCGACGGTGGTGGTGGTGTCGTACTTGAATGACTTGGTTTGACCGTTCTCGAGGAAAACCTTTAGGACGTTCGCCATTGGTGGTAGGCAAAGGTCTCCGAGAGAAAAGGCGGAAGGCTGAAACAGGAAATGTAACTAATAAATCTTCTAACACTTGGGACAAAATTAGTAGTTTTCATCGCAGGATTTATTTCATCCTATTTTTATTCTGTTCTTTAACAGCAAACATTATAAATTAGTAAATTAATCTGGTTGTACTGGTATGGTCAGTTGGTCACCGGGTTTTTTTGCGAAGAGAATACGCTTTAGTATGATAAGATCAGTATTGTTTAATAAGCGTCAGTGATCCCTATCGTAAAACCCTTTATAAAGCACAACACAGTCATTGAAAATTTTCATTGCTTTTCGACCTTCCGATAAGTGAATAACGTTCAAATCATGATGTTCATGTATTGGACCCTATGAAGGCTTCAATTCGTGACTTACGGGATACATGGGAGCCCCATTCAGCTGCACCGAGTCCGCAAACCGGACCCTCGGAGGCCTAGCCCTCAGTCGCGCCCTCTTTGCCGCCGACAGCAACGCTGACCTGAAAAGTGAAAAAAGTTAAAAATACTTATTGCCAGATTAATAATACAGGGCAGAATTGCCTGCCCTGAGGAGGTAGGATTCACGATTTACAGATATTGGTAGGTGTACGGCTAAGCAGAAGTGTTAAGAATGCAATAAATCAAAATCGCTCAAGCTCCCGAGGACCTACCGGTAGGTCGGGTGACGTAATCGTGAAATTTACTTGGGCGGCGCGGACCTTCCGGAAGGTTCGTCCGTTCTTCCGTTCCGAGACGCCACGTCACTTTGAACGATATAGAAGTGATGTTTCCTTTGGCAATTATATTTTTTATATTCCCTTTTTCCCTTCTACAATAGATTCAAAATTGAATGGTACAGGAAGTCTGAAAGGTTTAGGTTTTCAGGATTTGTATTAGAACATTAGTTCCCAAACTTATTTGAGACGCGCCCCCCTATCGACCATACAAAAAAATCCGCGCCCCCCTCCTCCAGTCAAGATTATTTATTGGTCGTATCGTCTGGAATGCATTCTCTCAGCGGTTGCAGGTTTCTTACAGATGGCCCCGCTTTAAAGGTCTTTGCGCCCCCCACTTTGGGAACCTGTATTAGAATGTGTTGTGAAATACTATTAACCTCCTCATAGGGTTCCCGCTCCGTGCCGGCTGACACACGCGCAGCGTAACCTTGTCGGCGCACGCGCGCACCGCCGCGATCACGTGCTCACGCGCGGCAGAGCTCACGTCCTCGCCGTTCACGCAGAGGATCTGGTCGCCTGGTTCTAGCTGGAATGGGGATTAGGGATTATGAAGATGTAGTTAAGTGTAAGGTGAACGGACGATCTAGTGAGTCGCGGGAAGCGGGCAACGCAACATTGCAGTTATTTAAGGTAGGGTTTTTCAAAGTGGGGTACATTCGACTGCAGGGCATTCGGTGGCAGAATTAAAATGTCCAAAATTACTCCTAATATTGACTCCATTTGCGACAAGAAACAAGCACACCATCAGCATTAGCATCAATATTAAAAATACATTTTTCGTTGACACTTTATTTGTACCTTTTTTATTGAAATTAAAACCTAATTTTCTTCATCACTTTTATTATTTTCTTTGGTTTTAATTAACTGTCACCTGAAAACTTTAACAGGGGTTCGTGGAGCCGAAAGTTTGAGAAATCCTGCTTTAAGGAGGTGACGTGTAGTGTCTTTTTAACTATAAGTATGGGTAAAACTTTTAGCTAGTTTTTAGATTTTTAATAGGCGTGGAGGTTGATCGAAGCTCTATTGAGTGTCTTGGTAAGCAGTGCAAGCATCTGGTGGGCAGACCGTGTGAAAACCTTGGGGCTTGCTTTTGTCCAGTAGTGGAGGTCCTTTGGTTATAATGGTAGCGTGGTGATGTGTATTACAGTGTAGTGTCTCTTTTTTTTATCCACACATACATACTACACACTTCATATGAGAGAGTTAACGTAACATGAGCTCTAAAGGCTGGGTTGCACCATCCTATTTTAACTAAGTATAACAAAACATCAAAAATCTGTCAGACTCCATACAAAAACACCGGTTTTGTTTCTAAGTGTTTCTCCTGAACTAAAGAGACAATTTAAGTGTGGTTTTGATATTATCAACGTGCACCGCAGCTTGTATTAGCATCAGTAGATGCTCTAAAATGTAGAGAGTATGAAATACTCGCTGTGTTGATGGATGATCAATAGGTACACCGATAAGGCTTGGTTTTCAAAGGTTTTCAATTATATTCCTTTTTATGGTTGTTAGTATAAGGCAGTGTTTTTCAACCTGTGGGTCGCGACCCCTAATTATGCAAATGTTGTATGGATTGAAGTATTCGGTCCATACAAACATCTTTGCGACATTATAAAATGCATGAAAAAAAAATCGAACGGTCGGGGGGGTCGTGTCATGAAAAAGGTTGAAAAACACCGGTATAAGGGATAGTATACCTTGCCGACGCTAGGCGAGTTGTCGGTCACAAACCGGACCAGCACCGGCCTCTCGGACCCCGCCACGAAGCCGAAGCCCAGCTCGGGGTCTCGCTCCAAGACCACGTCCCGGGGGGCGGGGGGAGACTCGCACGAGCAGCCTTCGGGCGCCACGTACGTAGTCGTCTTGTTGACGTGACTGAAATTGAGAAAATGGGGGAGTTAATTTTTTGTCTAAATGAAATTGTCTTGGGTTATTATATCTCCTGCTTGCCTTTGTTAAGTACACCAAAGACAACAATACACAATATTAAAGACGCAAAATATTAAGCTTAACACTAGTTTAAAATATGGTGGCATTAATTCTTCCACTACCTTAAAGAAACTAGTTAACTATCAGTCCGAAAGTGTTTAGAATATGCACTTTTCGTACCTTATTAACGCAAACAGATAATAATAATATAATCTACTCATAACTATTGATCATGATCCTTTTGACGGAAGCATTAATGAGTCCTCTTAGTTCGTTTGGTTCTAGTGCGCTCAAAAATGGTTGATGAATTCAATCTTGGTGATAAACTCCCGTACACACACAACGCAACCCTCGTTGTGGGCCATGGCACCCGTAATGACGTGTAGTGCTTATATAAGATTTGTATAACCACAAGCTTATGGTACATTTGCAATCCTCTAAGTCAGGGTTTCCCAAACTATAGGTCGCGACCCAGTGGTGGGTCGCGAGCGAACATTGAATGGGCCCTGCCTGTAGAACGACACATCACCCTACCGATCCAACCGCTTGGGCAGCGGGCGAAATTTCCTGTAGGTGGGTCCCGGGTTTGGGAACTTGTATTAGATGAGTCGTAGCCCAGACAACTTTGGGAACCACTGCTCTAAGTTGTATGCATTTATTGATCTAGCTAGGACATACCATTCACACACAAATAAAAGAATAGTAGGTACTCACTTGATGTAGTAAGGCTTCCCATGGCTATCCATGGCCTGCTCCCAGCCATAGGGCAGGTCATCCTCGTCCTCCGCCTGGCTGCCGCTGCTGCCTTCCCTGCTGGATGGCCAGCTCTCCGCCGGCGGTAGCCAGCTCGCCGTCCGCGTGATATGGCTGGAACAAGAGATTCTTTATAAGTATGATTTGAGACATTATTATTTATGAATAGTGTGCACTTTAGTAATACAGATTTGGGCCTAGGAAAAGGCTTAGGCTGAGTTGCATCACCTTATGATAACCGTGACTATAACGACCCTTGTGTATTGTACGGATTTTGACAGAATTTGGACGTTTGTTAAAGTTAAAGTAAGATGGTGTAACCCAAGCCTTAACGTTTTTATTTTTTTGTAGACATGAATAGATTGTCCTATTTCGAAAGTTTATTTTGGGTAAGTCGATGGGCCTAAATTTTGCGAGTACCTATCGTAGTTTCGATGCGTAAAAAATAAAGCATTACTTGAGATCATGTAAAAAACGTGGATTTATTTAAAAATAATTACAAAATAAACGAGTCGTGGAAAATATTTATGCATTTTAGAGGTCGATTCGTAAGCGAGAAGAGAAACAAAAGAGTAACGATATTCAGCGATGAAAAAACAACGTAATTTTCTCGGTGGCCAGTGTCGCGCGGCCAAGGAGGTCACAAGCACAACAAGGTCCTAAAAATTAAATTACAAATTAGTTACTTGACGTTTAGTTATTTACAACTTTCTCCTCAGCTTTATTTATTAGGTTAGGTATCCTAACTTTAAAAGCGATGAAATTCTGTTTGAAATCCTGAAGAATATTCAGGAACTCTATAATTTACGTGTTTTATCGCCTAAACAATCACCCTAATGTATTGCCTTACGCCTAAAATGATTCCCAGCGCAATAAAAATACAATATTGCGCGAAGTTGCAAAGAATTGCGCGAATTTATTATAATGAGAGCCACGATAAGGCGGGGGAATGTAAACGTGTTTGTCCTGGAAGCCACAGTATAGTAAAAGTAAGTAGGTTCAAAGTCATAGATTAAAACAAAAACCATATTAAAACAAGAGAGACAGATCTCCAATATTAGAGTTGGCACCTAATTCAAAAAAGCTTTTTCTTGTACACATTTCAAAACAACTTTATTTAATCCTGTACTTTATCCTATTTAATTTTTAAGACGTTCATATGACATAAAGCAGAAAAAGATCGTCACTGTTGTCAGCTTAGTTCTCCATAGGTGTGAATGTACTTATCTTAATTTATTTATCGATATGTTTGGCCGGTCATCGAAACTTTTTAAAAATTCGAACAACACGAGTACATTTTTTATTTATTTTTCTTTTGAAATCGAATTTCGAATTCGGAACAATATTTTCGTGCGTTTGTTTTTACTGATTTTTAAGTACTGAGTCTACTGTTTCTCAGTATTGTGTGTACTTTTATCAGAAGGGTCCAGAGTCCGGGGAGTACAAAGTGCGAATTGCCCGTAGAATAGGTGCGGAAAAATACACCCTAAAAGGCTTCGAGTGGGTGTTGAAATTTTGAGCTGGGGACGTCCCAGCTCGCCTGGTTGTTTAAGCTGTAATGACGGTTAGGGGCAATTTGTGTAACATGCTTTGACAAGTCGTTTAATCTTGTAACTTTGCAGATTTTGTTTTTAAAGAATAATGAAAAATTTTGTAAAGAGAGTAAATGAGATAAACGGTTTTTAGAAGGACGGTGTCAGGCTGCCTGACGGATGGCCTAATAAAATCCTATTAAAGGTGAATGTTTCTTTATTAGATAGTTACTATTTACGTTCACTAAAATACATTATTACATTGTATCTCGCGACGTTTTCGCATTTGCCAAAGCTCAATCAGAGGGTTTAATGCGAGTTTACATCAAATGTTGTCACTAGTGAGCGCGTAAAAAAATTGTGATGGATTGTACAGCACCTCTAGCGGATACGTTCAAGAACTAAATTCTTCATAGATTTTTTAAACGCGCTCACTAGTGACGTTTGATGTAAACTCACACAGCCCTCAGGCCGAATATTTCACTAAAAAAGTTTAGCAACTTTAATAAACAAACTGACTTCAAATCAGCAAAAAGGTACCATAATAAAAACGTAGAAACAAGTAATAATTCTCAAGTTAGCAAGTCCGTAGTCGTCAATTTTCATTTTGTAATTTTGCATGAAAAATGATAGAACTTTGCAAAATTTTTCAGGCGATATTACCGCAAAATGTTTGCTTGCGTGTGCTCTTTATAACAATGGCGGCTTGATTTGGCAGTTTTTCTTCGATTAAGTTTATGTTGAGGAGGTTATGAGCAATGAAACTATTCATTAAGTTCGCTGGGGCTAGCTCTAACGCTGACAAAAAAAATATTTATGGCCAATGTTGAATATTATGATGCTTAAATATGAATAATTATGTACGGTGGTTAATACTTTACTATATTTAAAGTAACTAGGTAGCAGATTAATAGAATTTTAAAGTTAGCTAAGCGGTTGAATGAAAATAATAGTTAAACACGTACAATCTTCTTGAATAACACCTAACGAGTCGAAAATATGTTTGTTTGTTTCTTTTTAATTAGGGATTTGATGATAGCAAATAAGAAAAATTCGTTACAAAAAATAATTCTAAGCAAACCCGCGGGCTTAAATTGTCTACGGCGTGGTTCCGAATACTTTCCACGACAATTTCCATGGTTTATTCTTTATAGCACCGTTTTGCTTTCGGAGTTAGATAAAACTTTTCAAAACAAAATTGTCGCCACAATGACAGTTTCGAGTTTCCCCCCTTCCCCCCACTCGTGTTATTAAAATATATTTCCAGCGGTAAGCGCAAGATTCGGCTTTATCACGTAATGCTCGGCTTTCAGCGTAATGAATCCAACAATATTGCGAAAAAACGCGCTCGTGAAAAATAGCGTGGACGCCGCAAATGGGCGCTCGTATATTACACAGTTTAGGGTTGATACGTAACTAAAGACCTAACTTAGCGGCGTCTGGTTTGAGTTTAGTAAACCTATCACCTTTATTTAACCTTAATTCACCTTAATTTGACCCCACGTACTGGTTTTGGAAATAAGTATAATTTTAAGTTTCATAAAGTTCTCTTGTTGGACTTTTTTGATTCGTTGTTGACATCGATAGGTGGATAATCACTGTGGTTTCGTTTCCTTCCTTGTGATTCTAAGGAATCAATGGTACTGCTATTGGTCTATTTGTGAGCAATTTTAGTAGTTCACAAAATATACAATGTGGAGTCAGGGTAACAGTACCTACATACCAATATTATATCAACTACTTTCTAAACATCCTTTGGTTAAATAATCATAATAATAATTATGTATTTAGAAGACATCAATCAGCTACTCTAAATCATCATCATCATCATTACAGCCATAGGACGTCCACTGCTGAACATAGGCCTCCCTCAATGCTTTCCAAGTTACCCGGTTGGTAGCGGCCTGCGTCCAGTGCTTTCCTGCTACCTTTATGATGTCGTCGGTCCACCTTGTGGGTCGACGTCACTCGCTGCGTTTTCCGGTACGCGGCCTCCATTCCAGAACCTTGCTGCCCCATCGGCCGTCAATTCTGCGTACTATGTGCCCTGCCCATTGCCACTTCAGCTTGCTAATCCGTCGGGCTAGACCACATCCATACGATTTCTATTCTAAATACAAATTATAATTGTTTTAAGTATGATCTTTTATAAAACATATAAGTGGCAGCCCTAACATCGCCTCATTCATCAGTCTACACTTACAACATCATGTCAAAACAACCTACGTATTCTACGTTTACGTCTATAAATTAAGCATTGCTTTTATCAACCCAAAAATAGAATATTCTATGAAGTGTATAACTAAACAAGTATAACGCTCCAATAGAAACTGGCAGATTTTTAATGCATTATTATAAGAATCGACTCAAAGAAAGATTTAACTGCCTCAGTACCCTTGAAATTACCACATTTTCAATCAATCTTCTTCTTGTCGTGTCGACAACAAACCAATACAGTGTCAGCCCAAAACTCCGCCACAAGGGTGGCGATGTCAGTAGCCTTAATTAAATCTTCCTGTGCGTGCAGTTGTGTCTTCAATTAATGATGTGATGAGTTTAGTAACTATGAGTACACTATCAGCTAGTAATTATAAATACATTATCCACAAAGACGAAGCTCTAGGCCAGCTTCTAACCTGATGGAAAATGATGATCAGGTCGAAGGTGGAAGCGAATTTCACCCGGTATCCTCAGAGGAACTGGCTATTTTACCACCAACTGCCGGTACTCAACAGTAGCTTTACCATGAGTTTACATTAAAAGTCATCGCTAGCGAGTGCGTCAAAAAGATCTATGAAGATTTTTGTGCTTGCAAGTAACCACTAGGGGCGTTATACAATCTGTCATACATTTCATGTACATTTTTTACGCTACCGTTAGCGTGCACAGTGCACACCTTTTTTTTGAACAGACAGGACAGGTGACAGGAGGCAAACGAGCAGACGGATCACCTGATGGTAAGTGATTACCTACCGTCGCCCATAGACACCCGCAGACCCAGGGGCACCTAACGTAAGCACACAGTGCTGTAGAATATTAATATTCCTTTTGGCTTCATTTGTTACAAAAATAGCCAGTTTCTATAAGCACGATTTACCTGTTTGTTGTAACAAACACTTAATCAAACGTCGAGTTAATTTTATTCAACGGAAATCCGGGCCCTTGGAGGCAAACTTTGCTGAAGCTTGATTAGCACATTTATAACGTAAATGAGGCATCAACTCCCGCACAACTTGTAATGTTCCTGAAAATCAAAATACGGCGAGAATAAAGTGAAAATCATTACTCGTGTTCTTGATTATTGTGCATAACAACATGTCACTTTAAAATTAATATAGCCCGTAATGACATAGCCCGCAGAACAGAAACGCTATAAACAAGTGACAGTGGGCGGGGCACATAGCTCGTAGAACTGATGGCCGCTGGGGCAGAAAAGTTCTCGAGTGGCGACCACGAGCCGGAAGACGTAGTATGAGCAGGCCTCCCACTAGGTCAGTGGTTCCCAAACTTATTTAGTCTACTGCCCACTTTGATAATAAATTATTTTTAGCGCCCCCCATTTTTGTAGTCAAGAGTCGAGCTCAGTCGGTGTCTAAG